ATTTTTGTGCACACTTCTTTGGATTTTTGGGATGCCGCGCAGGTGGCCATATTTAAACTTTTCCAGTGTTTGCACATGTCGTAGGCGAGCCACACGCTGATCCTCAATGCGCTTGCTAAATCATTCTGAAGTAGCTGGGAAGATATGCCACAAGCCGTCATGCTGCTAACATCACAAGGAAGAGGCGGCCTAGCCGCTGAAGTAGTATATGGTTCATGCAGGTCATCCAGGAAAGGCGGATGGCAGAGAGAGTCAAATGCAGAGCATGTCTAAAGCAGGAGAGCGACCCACATGTCGAAGTTCCGCCTTACCCAAAGGGAAGCTGGCGTGCCATTATGTCAACCGGCTTTCCTACACACCATTGGCCGGGTCTGGGGCAGAAAGCAGCCGATCACCATTGGAGCCAACGCACCTTCGGCACGGGGTGTATGACAGCAGGGGCGATGAGCTAAGGCTCTTGCTGGTGGTGACTTGGCCTGGGGTGCCTCGCTAGTAATCGAGACCGGGTCGGCGCTTTCTATCTTTCAGGGGAGGCCGACGTGCAGGCCTGAAACCTCACGTGTTGTAGAGCTGCGGCAGTATACTCTATTCAAGAGGCGCAGGACCATACGCGTAAGCCAGCTGCTTCAGCACACAAACATGGAGCCAAACATTGTTCGGTCGGGAAAACCCCACAGGTTCTCAGAGCAAGGGTACCTAGTACGGCCGCTTAAAAAGCTGCACATATAGCGAACACTCGTGTGCCGGACTATTGCCTATCTAGCACCCCAAGAACCCTACATGGTAGTTTCCTAAAATAGGGGGACCCTAATATAGACCCCAAAATACTCTAAACGAATCCCCTTCTGAGGCCTATGGCGAGGGACAGCTACGGATCTTCGACGCGGAGGGGGGGCTGAAGTCCGAGATCAGCCTCTCGTCATCAGAGCTTCTCAAAATAGGAATTTATGGGGTTTAAAGGGCTACGTAAGGTCTGTGGGATTTATAGGGTATATAGGGTTTATAGCTGAAAGGGTTATATGGGGGCTTCCCAAAATTTGGGGTACCTTTTAGGGGTCTCCGTAATAAGGTTTATAGTACTTTGGGGTCTACATCGGGGTCCCCTTATTTTAGGAAACTACCATGTAGATCCATGTAGGGTCTTTGGGGTTTGTAGGGACCACGATTACAAGGTTCATTGGGTTTGTAGGGCTTGAGGGTTTAGAGGCTGTGTGGGATGATGGGTTTCTAGAAATTCCAAGGTTCAGGGTTGCTGGCGTTCAGGCATATGCGCAGGGTCTTGGGCCACGTAAGCTTGTAGAACCGAATAGGGAGCGTAAACATATCTTTGTAACGTCTTGAGACCCTAAACTCCAAACCCCAACCCTAACCCTACCTGAACCCCAAAATCTGAAGCTGAAACTCTAGACCCTAAGACCCTGAACTTTCAAGACCCCCAATCCCTAAACCTGACCCCTAGACCCTAAACCCTAAATTGTAATTTTCATTTTCGTTTCCATTATCATTGTATAACCCCATTATGTACCCAATAATACCTTTATCCCTAAATTAATGAATCTAATGACAAGGCTTGGACGCTGGTCCCATCCTTCGTCTCGCTGCTTGGTTGCCTTGAATCCTGAAACAAAAGCGGCCTCCCTCAGGGTTCTAGGGTTTAGGCTTTAGGTTGGGGGTTAGGGTTCAGGCTTCAGGGTTGAGGGGAGACTATTGTTAGCCCTTAGGGGTGCGAGAGGGGGGGGCCTTAGGGGTGGGGGAGGGAGGGGGGAGGATTCTTCCCAAGGGTCCATGTGTCCAACACTTGGGGGATTGAAGTACCGAATATCCATACAGATTACAGTGTTTGGATGGACAAGTCCATCCCTCAAGTCTAATCAGAGTACTGTCCAGCACGTCACTTTGCGTGAGGATTATCACGAGAATTCACGGGCTATGCTAGTAGCAGTAGACACACTTAAGACAACAACACTTTGGCCGTAGCAGATTGAAATGCACACGGTGTGAAACAATTCCTCAATTTCATGTCCATTTGGTTCTCCATTATTTGAGCTACTTCAGTCCCTTAACCCCTTACACCCGTAAAGCCACCTAGTGCCATTTAGACTTCCATCTTCTTTTCCATGTGATTCTCGATTTTGGGTATCGTCCCAAACCCTAAGCCACAGTGTTTAGTTATTCTACCGGAGCACTGCAGTGTCTAGGGACTGACGCATACAGCTAGTGTTGAGAGATGCCTGTCAGCACGCCGGGTTGGACATGAAGCACATGTTTATCCTATCAAGGCATTCGGTTTTGGGCCTGGGAGCAAAAAAGAGCAACCTTGTCAGTGCCTGTGAGCCGAGCTCGGTTTACACGTGATCAGTGAGGTCGGGACAGGTGCCTCTTGTTGATGCGTATACCGTACGCCTGACCCGCCGGCGTTGATGTTGCCCTAAACGGCTGCTGCCTTTCTCCAGTTCTTAAGCAGGGCTTGTGAAACAGTGAAGAGAGCCAGGCATCGATATGCCATACCTGCAATTTGATTTCGAGCTCTGACTCGAAAATTACGCCTGAAACCATGATGCACGTCTCGCTGTGGATTTCAGGCGGGTCTGGAGAGTGGACCGCGGGTGCTCTGCGGTCATGCGCGCGGTCAGGCGCATTGCGTCGATGGTGAAGAGTCCACTGCATCCCCCACACTACATGGACAAATCGTGCCAAGATGTAGTCTTGCCTAGCCATGGGCTTTGTGGGGGCTTCCATGTAAGTTTGTGGGAGTGACGCCACCGCTCTCTCAAAGTCGGGTGCCAGGTATCAAGGTTGGGGCATGGATCATGACGACCGGAGCATTATTTTGCAAGCTTACCGCTTATCTAGGGCAGCATTGGAGTGAACCTTATGGTAACATCTATGCCGTTGTGCACAGGGAAACAGCACGGGGCATGCATGGAGTGGATGACTCAGCCCTTACCAGGAAGTTCTGTATAGCATAGTGCATGCTGCAAAGCTTTGAAGTAGTTGGGTTGATTATACATGAAGTCCAAAGTATTGTAGTAGCTTGTACACGTGACTGTAGGCAGTGAAAGGCAAGAACTTGATTCCCGGCGTGAAGGTGAGCTTGGTCACGCTGCCCAGCTTTGAGTTCAAGGCAGAGTTCCAAGCACTACAAGGCACACTGCCGGCCTAAGCACTAAGAGCCTCTCAGTACCCTTAACTGGGTTCAGAGGAGCCCCAGAACATCGAGTAGTTAGGCCAGAACAGAGGCTAGTTAGTAGGGAAACGACACTAGCTAGAACCAAGCAACCGTAGCAGGCTGCATTCATTCATCTTTGTCGTAGCGCAAGTAAGATGTCCACAGCTGTTTGGCCGACTCAGGGAAGGTGGACAGCCTGCTTTGCGCGGGACACGATGGCATCTTCCTCATCGGCTCCCAGGAGGGTTTGAGGAAATATAATACAAGGAGGCTTGGGCACTAAAGATGCCTCAGCATGCTGATGTCTCAGGACGGCAGCTTGCAGCTCTGGCAGCGGGTGGAGGGAGGGCTACCAGGCAGGGGCTAGAAACCGGCATGCAACTTGCTGCTTGGACTGGTTGTGGGCAGGATGAGGCACTGAGGGTAGCTGGGCTCGTGTTTGCCTGCGTGTCACAGAGCGGAAGCTGGCGCACGCGCCCGGACCCTAGCCGGATTGCCGAGCAGAAAGCGAGCTTGGTCAAAAGTTCGCCATGTGTTGTGCATGCTTGTTGATGTGTGTGCATGTGCTCTCACACATTTGCTTGTTTTGCTTGAACTTGGAGTGACTTGCCGCGGCAAAGAGTGATGCAATACGTGTATACAATTGGAACGCCTGCTCAAGCCAAGTCTTATCAGCGCCATGTCTTATCCTCCGGGCTATAGCTACCCGCCGACCTACCCAAGCTATCCGACCTCGGCGGCCTATCCCCCAAATTACGCGCCGCCTGCCCAAGGAAGTCCCGCTGAAGGCAGTGCTTACAGCTACCCACCACCAGCAGCAGCGCCGAGTCCAGAGGCGCAGCCACAGCAGCCGGCACAACCAGCGCAGCCTGCACAGCCTCCTGCTGCGCAACCTGCCCCTCAGCCAGGCCCAGCCCCAGACTACTACACGCAGCCAGCAGCACAACCGGCCCAAGCCCCTCCAGCTCCTGCACCAGGCGATCCCTATTACGATTACTATCGACACTACTACGGCAGCTACCCACCACCGCAAGGACAAGCCTACCCTCCTGCTGACCCGAATGCTCCCCCACCTGCAGCCGACTACTCTGCAGCAGCTGCTCCGGCACCAGCTGCCGCACCCCCGGCTGCATCCTACCCTCCGCCAGCAACTGCAGCCCAACCCCCTCCAGCCGGCTACCCTGCGGGCTACCCGCCGCCTGCAGCCTACCCCCCGCCTGCGGGTTACCCAGCTTATAATTACACAGATCCATCACAGCCTGCCCCTGTGCCAGACTATTCGCAGTACTATGCCGCTTACCCTCCTCCTGCTCAACCCCCAGCTTACGGTTACCCGCCGCAGCCGTATGGGTACGCACCTCCACCTGGTGCACCGGGCTATCCCCCTGCTCCTTATCCGCCGCCTCCTGGGCCTCCTCCTCCGCAAAGTAGCGAGCGGGCAAGTGACCGTCGGCCTTCCCCCCGGCGCAGGGATGATAACAAGAGACGGCCATCCCCACGGCGCAACGACCGTGACAAGAAGCCGAGAGTTGACTCAGATCCTACCAAGAAGCTTCTTTCACACCTGAATGCCCACAAGGGCTGGAAAGGTGTTTGGCTTGAGGCTATTGATCCGCCCTCACGCGCCATGACCAACTCCAATGTGACGTTGCTGATCGTGACCAGCGGTACCACAACCTCGAAGTCTTCCTTTGGCTTCCTGCTCGCTTCATCCCGGCAAGCGAAGCAAAGGGACCGGCAGCGCGAATGTGCCAAGGACATGTGCACACAAGTGGAGCAGCTCCTGGCGGGAAAAAGCGAGAAGGACCTGAGAACATGGTGCCAGGTACCGGAGCCTGAGCCAGAGCCAGAGACAGCGCCGTCCCTGGACAAGCTGAAGGGGCTTCTCGGCAACAGGCTCGCATCCACAGGAGGCAAGTCTCTCCAGGTGGACTTAGATCTAGCGTCCAGCAGCTGTATCTTGACGATGGCCGCCGGCTATGAGGACGGAAAGGATGGCAAGATGGAGAAGGATGAGAACCTCGACCTGTCAGCCATGGATGCCTTCGCCCCGGATGCAGCCGGCCAGCTCCGGGAAGCCCAGCGTCTGGGAGGCCAGAGCCCTACGCCCTGACATAGAAGGTTTAGGGTTTAGGGTTTAGGGGATACTGGTGAGACTAATCCTCCTGCATTTGAGAAGTCCATGGCGTCCAAGTACCCAAATAATGGGAATTAGAGCCCAAATACCGTGCTCTGGATGGTTCCTGGTGCCCGAAATCCATTATTTGGGTGTACTGGGGTAGTAGCTCCTAGACCCTAGAAAGCCCAACATCTTCTAATTGAGGAATATACCTCAGATGATACGAGGATCATCGTATGATATGGGGTGTAGCCCTTAATTGTAAGGGATATCGGGCTTTCTGGGCCCCAACCCCTCAACACAAAGCCTGGAGGCATGCTACGGCTACAGTGGCACTTGGTTCTTGTGAAGGCCAAGGATAGACGGGAGCCAGGACCTCAGATTACGTGTGTCATTGTTTTTTTTTTGGGGGGGGGGGAGGGTATAGGGCATAGAGTCGCAGA